CGAGGGCACCGAGCCGCAGGTGTTCAAGTGCAAGTTTGCCGGCTGGGACGAAGTGATTGCGGTCGACTTCACCCGCACGGCGGCCTCCGTGCAGAAGACTGGCGCCGACCTGACCAAGTGGGCGCAGACGCAGGAGACCAAGGCGGACCTCACCGCCCTGTTCACCCCCAGGTAGGCCCCCCCTTGACTTCGCCCTCTGGACCTGCGAGTTGACTGCGTCTTCCAGACAGCCGGCCACGGCGCTGGGCGAGGCGCAACAGCTGATGGACGAGTGGAACGAGGACTTGGACAGCATGGAGGCGGTGGTGCTGGAGGGGCGCAAGTTTGCGCGCCTGCCCGAGGAGGAGATCGGGCACTTCTACACGCAGGACTGCTACGTGTTCATCTGCCGCTACTGGGTGCCCCTGGACGACTCGGAGGCGCCCGCTGACGACATCCAAGTGGTGGTGTTCTTCTGGCAGGGCCGCGAGGCCTCCAACATGGGCTGGCTCACCTTCACCTTCACCCTGCAGAAGAAGTTCAAGGCGATTTTTGGGGTGAGTGCTGGCGCGCGCCCTCTGCACGCAGCTGATCGCGTCGCTTGCAGGACAAGCTCGAGGTGGTGCGCACGCACCAGCAGCAGGAGAACATCAAGTTCCTGGCGCACTTCCGGCGGAAGTTCATCATCCACCAGGGCAAGCGCAAGGCGCGCGACGCCAGCGCTGTGGAGTTTTACCACCTGCGGTCCAACGGCAGCGCCATCTACACCAGGCTGATCCAGATCGCGCCCGACGCCGCCCTGCTCAACTCCGCCTTCTGCTACCTGCTCAAGGTGCCGTTCGAGCAGGACGACAACCCGGACTCGGGCATCGTCTATGTGTGGATCGGCAGCCAGGCCGATCCGGACGAGGCGCGCCTCATCCAGGACATCGCCGAAGAGATGTTCAACAGCCCGTGGGTCACGCTGCAGGTGCTCGCCGAAGGCGAGGAGCCCGACAACTTCTTCTGGCTGGCGCTGAACGGGCGCAAGCCCTACGAGGCCGACGCCAGCTTCATGCAGTTCACGCGCCTGTTCCGCTGCTCCAACGAAAAGGGCTTCTTTGTGGTGTCGGAGAAATGCTCGGACTTTTGCCAGGTGCGTTTATTCATTGACTTACACTAGACTAGTGAGGACGAGTTGAATGTGGCTGGGGTGCGTCCGATAGGGGTTGATGCGCCCGTGGGCGCGGAAGGTATTGCGCGTCACGATGGGCGCGGCATTGGCCTGCACAAGCCCCACCTTCAGCTCGTCCGGGTCCCGCCCCAGGTGCTCGGCGTTGGCCAGCGCGCTGCGCAGCAGCCCCCGCAGGCACCGGGCCGCTTTCATGGGCCAGCGCCCCTTTGCAACAGGCACAGCTAATCGAGGACTGAGCGGAAAAGTGGGGGGCTTACCTGGACTGTGCGGAACTGCTTGGCCTGGCGGCAGCGCCCAACTCCGCCCTTGAAGCGCCGGAACGGCACGCACCGGCGTCGGGCCAGCACGTCCGCTAGGTAGGCCTGCGCCCGGTTGACGCTGAGGCCGCGCAGCGCCCCAGCCGCCTCCACCAAGTGCTTCAACTTCACACGCGCGTGGCGCAGCTGCGCCTTGACGCCCTCAGCTCGCTTGTACCCCATTTTGCGCTCACACGTCACTTGAACCGGATGTTTCAGGACGATCTGGCGGATGATGACATCATGATCCTTGACAACGGGCAGCAAGTGTTTCTGTGGCTGGGGTCGAAGTGCAGCGAGGTGGAGATCAAGTTGGCCTTCAAGTCGGCCCAGGTGAGTCTGGTTGGCTGCGCCGCCCACGGGGGCTCATGCCTTTTTGCTGCAGGTCTACATCCAGCACATGCGGGCGAAGCAGCCGGAGCGGCCGCGCGGCCTCTTCCTCACCGCCAAGAACAAGGAGTCGAAGCGCTTCACCAAGTGCTTCCACGGCTGGGGGCCGCACAAGCGCCCCCCCGAATAGGTACATCTATGACTTCATTTAACAGACACACACACACACGCGCGCGCGCGCTCTTTTTATATATATATTTATGTCTATGCACTAACTGCGACAAGAATAAACACAATAAATAAACTATTCAGCTAGTAGGGGGGTTGTTGTGCGGGTTGGGCCGGTTCAGTCGTCATCGTCGTCATCATCATCAGGCACGAACAGCTCGTTCTCCTCGAGGAAGTTGGCGATGTTCTTGCTGATCCCGGCCCCAATCAGCAGCCCCGGCACCACGGTGAACACCACCTGCAAACGCACCGATTGCAGCCCCAGCGCCACCAGTCGCGCATTTACCTTGAGCAGCCCGAACGGCGTGCGGTGGGGCTCCGCCATCACCTGCGGCGGCTTGCTGGACGCGTTCCGACCCCCTGCTAGCCCCACGCGCCTCATCAGGCCTCGCCAAAGCCCCCAAACCATCGCCACTGAATTGAGGTTAGGTCTGTCAATAGTGTCATAATATGTTGCACCAGTCTTCCTTAAAACTTATTCTGAGCTAGGGTTAGCTTTGGATTAAGGTTAACCCTAACTTCAGACAGCTTTGCACTAAGATGAAGTTTTACCTGGCAACATTGCTAACAGTGACAAATTGGCTTTTGCTGCCGCCTCTTCTTTCCAAAATAACCTCTATCTGAGGACTGAATGCGAGGTTGCCGTTACTGTTTACGTCTCAAATATAATTAATTCCTAATATATTATTAGAGAGGGAGTCTTTACAATGCTATTTTCCATTTGTTTTAGTAAGGAATCAAAAGTTATTTCAATTTAATAGTGAACATTAATTTAATAATAATCATCATCATCGCTATTTATCAATGAATCTAAAATAGGATCAGTTAAGTCCCTCCTAGTTTGATTCCCTTGCAACAATATATTGTTTCTGTTATATATGTCGCTTATCTCCATATATGTACTTTATCTTCTTGCATAAGATGTATGAAGCGTTCAACATCTTCGCGATCAGGTGGCTGATCCTCATTTTGCTCTCAACTCAATCATTTTATTATTAAGACCGTATCTATTTTTGGATAAAGGACTGGGAATCCTCTTTTCCAGATAGCAAATATCCGCTCAACTATATTTCTTATCCGTATATGCGACTCGTTGAATAATTGTTCTGCACGATTTGCAGGCCTAATAAATACGGCCTTATGTTGTAGCCTCCATCGACTATACACAGAAATTAACAGATATCGTTTAAATATACCAGAGGTGCATATAAATAGATAGAATAGACCTTCCTCTTCTATGAGGTTCGATATGAAAAGTGCGTGAAAAATGATTCTGTTTGAGGTTAGTCTTCAAATCTGACTTTAGGTTCCACTTAAGCGGCACTTCATTCATCTTCTTCTTAAATTATTTGCCTGTTACGGTAAGGCTAGGTGACAGTGGTGCACTGTCACTCTTATGATAAGGTTGACTGGTGCAAATGGATGGCGTCAAACGGCGCACACGTGGCAACGCTTCGCCGGAGGCGAGAAAAACGCGACTTAATTTCAACCAAATAATTTCTATAATAGCGTGTTAATTAATAGTGTTAACAATAAGGAATCGTCGAAGGCGTGCGTGGATCAAGGGCGGACTAGTCGCAGTCCGAGTCGCCCTCACTGGAGTAGTCCTGGATGGGGAGGGGGCGCGTGAACGGGGCGCTGGTCATCTGGCTGCGGACCAATGGGGGGCTTAGAGGGCCGGGCGGTGGGCGCGTCGGTTACCTTACATGAGGCGCCGGTAGTGGTTGAGCCACTCCTCGCACATTTGGGCGACCAGCAGCGGGCGCTTGTGCAGCGGCTGCTGCGCCACCAGGATGCCGCCCTCCGTCTCGGACACGTCGATCCACTGGCGCAGGATGGCGGGCTCGCGCCCCAACTGTAACCGCGGCGCAATTGAAGTAAAAACAACCCTTTTTGGGCCACCGGCACTCACCTCGGCCTCCAGCAGGAAGTGGATGGGGAGCGGCTTGCGGTCGCCGTCCACCAGCGGGAGCAGGGAGGCGCGTGGGCGCAGGCTGGCGGGCGGCTCGGCGGCCACCAGGGCGGAGAAGTGGCCGCGCGTGTACCCCAACGCGATCGGGCAGCGCGAGCAGAAGCTCTGGTCCCAGAGGAGCGGCAGGTAGACGCCCTCGAAGCGGGCGGGGCCGAGCGCCTCGCCCCTGAAGCTCTTCACCACCTTGACGCCGTAGACTAGAATGGGGCGGCGCAGGATGTGCGCCAACGCAAACACGTGCAGCTGCTCGAGACTGGAGCCTGGCTGGGCGGCGAGGGCGACCAGGCTGCTCCAGTCGCCCTCCCATTGGGCCTCGTCGAGCGAGTACTGCAGGAAGGAGGCGTGCGAGCTCTCGTACTCCTTCCAGCGCGGGTAGAATCTGCAAAAGGGCGGCCCCTAGAAGCGGTGCTGGCGAACGGGCGGCGCCTACCTACATGTGGCCGGCGTGGACCAGCGTCTCGGCCAGCGCCCTCCTCAGGGTGTTGTCGCGGTCGAACACGCCCCAAGTGGCCTGCATCACGCTGTCCAGCAAGCAGTCGCCCGCCGACCTGCAACAGAACGCGCGCTCATTGGCGGGCGCCGATAAGGGGGCGTGGCCACTCGCCTGTTCCACAGGGCGTGCAGGCGGCTGACGCCCGCCCCCACGGCCCAGTTGATGACGGCCGACACCCCGCCCTCCAGCTCCTCCTGCGCGTCCTTGTCGAGCAGCTCGGCCATCAGCTGGTCCTGCACGGTCAGCGGCAGCGCGTTGACGTCTGGCGGACAAACCACAAACTGTGCCACGCCCTGACGGCTGAGCGGAGGCGCCACTTACCGACCGGCAGCGTGAAGGTGGGGAACTCGGTGACGTAGTGGCAGGCGAAGCCGCCCTTGCGCTGGCGCAGCGTGGTGGCGAAGTGGCGGCGAATGTCGGCGGCCAGCTCGGGCGCCACGTAGCTCGGCACTCGCTTGATGGCGGAGCCGCCCGCGCCCTCGATCTGCGCCAGCAGCACCGCCAGCAGGTCCTCCCTCTGAAACCTGCAGAAACGCTCATCATTATTTTTGTGAAAAACGTCGCCGCCCACCCACTTGATGGCCAGATGGACTAGTGTTAGTCCGGCGTCGGAGCTCCGGTTCAGCAGGGCGCACTCGGCGGCCGTGAGGGGGCGCGCCGGGTCCCCGCCCGCCGCCAGGTAGGCTTCGACGGGGGCGGGGTCGCCCTCCACCACGCCCACACAGGCGTTCAGCCAGTCCCAGTCGGCGTTGCGGCGCGACTGGCGCAGCCGACGCTCCGCCTCCAGGTTGTTCTCGCGCAGCTCGGGGGCGTGGCCCGCTTGGTGGGCGTCGCTGCCGCTAGAGGCGGGCTGCGCGGTGCCGCACATGGCGCACTTGATTGCGCGCGGCCAGTTCTCGAAGGTGCACAGCTGCAGCATGCAAGCGATCACTCAACCTCAAAATCCCGTCGGATTGTCACCGGTGGCTCATCGCAGTAGCGCCTGTCATCGGTTCAACGACACTGACACAAACTAACCTAAAATTTGAACTAACTAACCTACGCGAAACTTGAAATTTTTAGGTTAGTGACGTTGAATCGATGACAGACGTTACTGCGATGAGCCACTCGGCGGATTGTCACGGGTGACGGTTACCTGACAGTTCCACTTGGCCTGCGCGCTGCGCCGACTGTTCTCCAGATTGGTGGGGCTGGAGTGGCGCGACAGGCTCTGCGCCACGTCGGACTTTTGCGCGATGCGCAGCGGCTGCAGGTGCTCGTGCAGGTTGTCGACTGACAGGCCCTGCGGGCTGCAGTGCCACAGTCAGTCACCGGGCGCTAGATGGCGCCGCCGCCACCAACTCACCTGAGCGAGCTGCAGTTGTCCAGCGAAGCGCCGGCATCTAGGCCGGGGCTCCGCTCGCCATGCAGCCGATAGATGTGCTCGAAGGGGCGCGGTCCGCTGCACATCGTGCACTTGATGGCCGACGGGAAGTTTTCGTAGGTGCAGTACTCGCAGGCCCACTTCCTGTCGATGTTGTCGCTCATGGCGACCGGTGGGGCACTGGACGGGTTGCTCGAGCCAATGTTTGTCATGAGAATATCATGATAGGCGCAGCCCCCGGTCGATCTGGGGGGGCCCCTAAGCCGCACCACTCGATACGCGGCACTGGCGACTGGAAACGGTCCAAATTGCCGCGAATGTTGGCCGAGACGCAGTTGCGGCCGCTGCCAAGCAATTACGTGGGCTGGCGGGCAACGGCGGAGGCAGAAAGTGGGGTTCGGGCACTCTCAGGGTCTCACCTTCGCAATTAAGGTCATGCAGCGCGGCTCGGAAACGATGCGGATCGCGCGCGCCACTGATCACCTGGAATTTTGGCGCGGTTCGCATAACCAGTCGGGCCCCTCTTGAGAATGGCGCTTCTCTGCCTTATTGTTGTCGTCAGTATGGCCCCATTTGACACTATGCGCGCACGGCCACTGACAGTGACAGTGACGGTTTTAACCTCATCACGGGCGTGACGTCACGCACGAGAAGAACCATCGTAATTCTGTCCAACTCCTTCCAGGCAAGCAGCTGGCAACTGCGCCCGATTGAAATCCATTGGCGCAGTGCGCAGACCATAACCTCCAGCAATAGTGATTAGTGACAGGTCGTAAAGGTGAAAATAGGCCCCATTTGCCGTTGGAACAATGGGGGATTCCGAGCTGGAAGAGTTGCGGAGGCGGCGCTTGGCCGAGATGCAGGCCAAATATCAGGTGAGGGTCGCTGCGGCGTCGGCCCATCGGGGCGCTCGATTGAGTGGGCGGCTGATTGCAGGGCGGGCAAACGGAGCCGGGGGCGCAGCGCGCCCAGGAGCAAAAAGCCAAGGAGCAGGAGGAGGTGAAGAACTCGATCCTGTCGCAGGTGCTGGACCAGAACGCCAGGGCTCGATGTAAGTGGGGGCATTGTATAGCATTCAGAGGGTGAGACTTGGGGCTTTGTGGCGCAGTGAACACGCTGATGCTGGGCAAGCCCGAAAAGGGCCAGATGGTGCAGGCGATGCTGCTGCGGATGGCGCAGTCCGGCCAGATTGGCGCCCGCATCGGCGAGAAGGAGCTGATCGGGCTGCTGGAGAACGTGAGCGCCCAAACGCGCAGCAAAACCACCGTCAAGTTCGATAGGAGACGGGCGGCCCTCGACTCGGACGATGATGATTTTTAGGCCGATATGGCATGAATAAATGCATTTTTTAGAAAATAAATTAAGTTAGTGAAAAACATCAACCCTGCCACGGTTTTCGGTCGCGTTCCACTCATAGATTAACCCATAGATAAAGACGAGGATTATGGATTAACCTTAGATTAACTAAGTTAACCACTTATGGGTGCTGTGGTCCACGTAACGAGTGCCGCGTGGCGCCCTCTCGTGGTCAGAGCTCCAGTTTCGGTTTGTAGCCTAGGCAACACGACCCAGAGCACGAGTGGGGATCACCGAGTGATGGGTGCAGGTGCTGGACGGGATGGCGGATGCGCGCCAGGCCAAATGTGGATGTTATCGAGGGTGCGGCGTCTAGTCGACACCCTTTTTTTTTAGGAGCGGTTTTATTTCTATATACAGTGGGTTATTTCAGGATTTAATCTGTGGCTCTTTATCGTCTGTAGCGCCTCTGGCGACTACGAAATCAGTCGTTCTCGGTTAGGTTTTCATTTCACTCAGCAACACGTTAGGCCTTGCGGCTACATCATCTCCTCTCGCTCGCACACATCAATTTGCCCCACAGCACAATGTTGCCGGCGCTCACCGAACCGCAAACAAACAAACTCGCCCGAAATTCCTGAGAGTCGTCGAACGACCGGAAGCACGGCTGGCAGGCGGCGCGTTTTGCGCCCGCCGGCCATCATCAACCGCGACGATTTCCCCTGCTGCCGCCACTTCCGGCCGGGGCTGGCAAAAGCCCCGCGGGCACCAGTCCAGTGAGTGCCGCACTGTGCTTGATGTCGGACCATGCGGAGACCAGTCAGGTAGGCGGGGAAATTGGGCACAAGCCGACAACCGGGCGATGGTGGGCGAGTTGCGCGCAAACACCCTCCCGAAGCCGCACTCGGGTGCCTTCGGCCGTTTGGGCCATCCCCACCACCACCCGGCCGGAAGTGCGCGGTCGACCGACTCCGCACGTGTTTGGGGGGCGCAATCTCCTAATCATGCTGGCTGAGGTGCGCCACTGGCCCCCTTCCCCGGCAGCTGTTGACTCGGCCGCGGAATTTGCATGTATGCGGGCACCGTGAGAACCGGCCAGTGGCGCACCGCGCATTCTTCCGCTCGAAACCCGTCCACAGCGACACCCATTGGAGGGGGCGCCGCCGCTGGCCGCTGCTTCCATTCCTCTAACGGACGGCCTTGCGGAACCCGTTCCAATGACCTTTGGAGGCTCCGCACCGGCCAGCTGCGCGCTAATTGATTAACGGCTTTAGCCCGCCTATGAAATGAGCATCCGGGACCCGTCAATCACTGTCAACGCCACTGTCACCAGGTCGCTGACCGAGTGACAGTTGTGTCACTGAGTGGCAGCTGTGTCAATGTCAAAACCGGGACAAAGGAAGAGGCCAATCGAGCAGCTGATGCGAAGAAAAGGAGGCCGGGTGTGCGTCGACGTGTCGGAACCTGCAGCAACCCGTTGGTTCATGCGGCGAACAGCTGGCGATCAATGGGTACCACCTGGGCGCGGGACGAGAGGCGGCAGGGGCGCGGGGCCGCGAAAGGCCACCCGAAAGGCCGTTCGGGTGCCGAGCGTCGTCAGTACGGTTGCGAACGGCGCAACGGGCGGAAGTGCGCATAGTGAGCGGGCGACAGTGGCGTGCTGACAGTTTTCCATTGGTTCATTCGGGCCGACAATGGTGCGCAGTTTGGCGCAGTGGACGAAAACGCTCAGTTTCCCGGCCCGCATTTCGCCCCACAAATCGAAGGAGGCTGCGGCTGTCAGCCCCCTGATCACGCCCAAGCCCAGCAATCAGTCGCTCAGCGTCCAGTCGAGCGACACGATGATGAACAGCAATTGCGCATCGCTGACCGAAGTCAGTCACGTAAGTTGAGCACCCAGCACGTCATTGTACGTGCCTACGGCCGGGAAAATCCCCAAGCCAGTGGCGTCGCGTGCCAGTTTTGCTTGATATTTGACACAGCTGCCAATTTGTGCCTTTTGGCGTTGACAGTGACATGTTTGTTTTGACGGCGGATGATTGACATTGACATCGGACAGCAACTGTCTAGCGCCAGCGACAGAACGCACGCCATTGATGTGCGCCCGCATCGTTCACCGACTAACTGGACCTGCTCAAGTGGCCGACAGATGGCCGCCCAGGCCCAATTAGCGGTTGCGATGCGGCCATTAAGCGAATCAACGACAGCGGCGACTTCCTACTTTACCCACATCCGGTCTGTTTCATTGCAGATCTACGCGTCGGAGGACCCCGATTCGGAGAAGGCGATCATGAGCTCAGTGGTGTACTGCATCCATCACAAGGACGGCTGCAAGTGGTCGGACGAGTTGCGCAAGCTCAAGGTAAGCCCCGCCCGCCCCAAGCGGGCACCACGCCCCCTACACAGTGTTGCCGCTTGCAGGGCCACCTGAACACGTGCAAGCACGACGCGCTGCCGTGCACCAGCAAGTGCGGCGCGCAGATCCCGCGCGTCCTCATGGAGGACCACCTGAAGTACACGTGCCCGCAGCGGCGCACGCGCTGCGAGTTCTGCGCCAAGGAGTTCAGCGGCCACGGCCTGGAGGTGCGCCCCGCGCCACTAACCTCAAAAAACGCACTAATTCCACCGATTTGGTTCCAGAGTCACGCAGGCCATTGCGGCGCCGAGCCGCTGTACTGCGAAAACAAGTGCGGCGTCAAAATGCCGCGCCGCCTACTCAGCCAGCACAAGGCCGGCGACTGCGCCAAGCGGCTGCTGCCGTGCCGCTGCTGCGGCAAGGAGTTCGTGGCCGACACGTTGGCCGCGCACCACGTCAAGTGCGGCCGCATGCCAGTGCCGTGCCCCAACCGATGCGACGCCACTGCGCTGGCGCGCGAGGAGCTGGACGCGCATCTGAAGGACGCGTGCGCTGTCTCCGTGCACGGCTGCTCCTTCAAGGACGCGGGTTGCCGCTTCAAAGGGGCGCGCCCCGCCATGGAGCGCCATCTAGCCGACGCCGGCCAACAACACCTGCAGATGATGTGCGGCCTGGTTGCCAAGCAGCAGCAACAGATCGCGTCGCTCAAGGGGGCGCTGGCGCGCCTCTCGCTCAACTGTTCCGGCACGCTCATCTGGAAAGTGAGCGATTTCGGGGCGAAAATCGCCGAGGCGAAGGGCAAGGAGGGCATGGAACTGGTCTCGCCCCCCTTCTACACCAGCCAGTACGGCTATCGGCTTTCCCCAAAAAACCGGTTGCCAACGAATAATGGCTGACGATAAATAATCTTAACCAGATTTAAAAAACACGAAAGTAGGCCCGAGCAACTTCACGCTTATCGTCGCCATTTTGGATGATGATGTGACAGCCCGGTGCGATGGGTTGAAGAAGAATAGGAGAAGATCTGTCATCCGCGCAACAACTAACCCCACTTCAATCGCATGCTGTTGTTGGTGTTGGCTGCAAACAGCGAAACACAATGGTGGCGCAACGCAAAAAGAAGGTAAGTCCTGCCTGGGCCGGCTGCTGGTCGGGCCGCTAATCCGGCGCTGTTTGCCCCACAGTACGCGACCGGCGAGGGGGCGCAGTTCATGACGCGCAAGGCGGCGCTCAAGAAGCTGCAGCTGTCGCTGAACGACTTCCGGCGCCTGTGCATCCTCAAGGGCATCTACCCGCGCGAGCCCCGCAACCGCAAGCGCGCCCAAAAGGGGCACAGCGGCATCAAGACGCTCTACCACGTGAAAGATGTGCAGTTCCTGCTGCACGAGCCGATCATCTGGACGCTGCGCGACTACAAGATCTTCAACAAGAAGGTGGGGCGCGCGCGAGCCATCAAGGACTTCGAGAGGCTTCGCCAGCACCTCAACAGCCACCCGACGCTGAAGCTCGACCACATCGTGAAGGAGCGCTACCCGACGTTCGCGGACGCGCTGCGCGACTTGGACGACTGTCTGACGCTCTGCTTCCTGTTCAGCACGTTCCCGTCGCTGGCGCACGTGCCCCGCGACCAGTCCGCCCTCTGCAGGCGCCTCACCATGGAGTTCCTGCACGCCGTCATCGAGGCGCGCGCCCTCCGCAAGGTCTTCATCTCGATCAAGGGCTACTACTACCAGGCGCAGCTCAGGGGCGAAACGGTCACCTGGATCGTGCCCCACCACTTCGCCTTCGAGCCCCAGCAGAAGGCCGAGGTGGACTTCAAGATCATGTCCACCTTCGTGGAGTTCTACAACGTGCTGCTCGGCTTCACCAACTTCCGGCTGTACCACGAGCTGGGCCTGCAGTACCCGCCGCGCTTCACGCGGGCGCAGACCGAGAGCGAGCGCGCGCTGGTGGACGAGGAGGCCTTCGTGGCGGAGCGGGTCTGCGCCCTCAGCCTGCCCATGCTGGGCGCCCGCGCCCCCCTGGACGAGGACCCCGACGCCGGCCTGGAGGACGCCGAGCGGCTGCAGCGCCTCCAGAACCTCTTCAGGGGCCTCAAGTTCTTCATCAACCGCGAGGTGCCGCGCGAGCCCTTCGTGTTCGTGGTGCGCAGCTTCGGGGGCGAGGTCTCCTGGGACAGCGCCCTGTTCGTCGGTAAGTACCGCGGGGCACTGCCCCAATGGGGCCCCAATCACCCAACCACCGCTTTCAGGGGCGACGTTCGACGAGAGCGACGAGTCCATCACGCACCAGATCGTCGACCGGCCCTCAATCGACAAAAAGTACATCTCCCGCTACTACGTCCAGCCCCAGTGGGTCTTCGACAGCGTCAACAAGGGCGAGCTGCTCCCCGTCCACCAGTACTTCATGGGCGAGGTGCTGCCGCCCCATCTGTCGCCGTTCATCGACGCGGCGCGCGACCAGCAGTACGTGCCGCCCGAGGAGCGCCGCCTCTACGACCCGGAGGCGCTGGAGGCGCAGCACCAGAAGGACCAGGCGGCCATCGCGCAGGGCCTGCCGGAGGCGGCGCCCGCCGACGAGGCGCCCGCCCCCAGCGGGAAGCTGTCGGTGAGCGTGGGCGAGGTGCACAAGGAGGTGCCGTGGGAGGCGAGCAGACAGGAGCGCCAGGAGTACCGGCTCAGGGAGAAGATGGTGAAGAAGAAGCACAAGAAACTGTACAAGAGCATGATGGAGGGCAAGACCAAGCGGGCCAAGGAGATCTGGCTGTTGCGCAAGAAAAGGCGCCTGCACGACCAGCAGCAGCAGCAGCCGCAGCAGGACTGACCCACTTTTATTGTTTTACACTTTACACGCCAATAAATTAACTAGTTAGTACCAACCTCTCTGGCTACTCCTGCTCCGCCTCGTCCTCCTCCTCCTCCTCCAGCTCGGGCATGGGGAAGCGCAGAATGGCGGCGATGCCCGTCAGCTGCTCCAGCTCTAAAAGCAAGCGAGAGGGAGTTAGGGGGCCGCCCGGCGCCGAACAGAGACAGCACTTACGCTCGCCCGACAGATGCATGCTGGAGAACATGCGCACCTCCCCGCCAGCCTCGCGCACCGCATCCACCAACGCCACGTACTCCTTGCGCTGCTTGACGTCGTCGCACCTGCGCAAACGGCGTTAAAACCCCATCACTACCCCCACTCTGGACGCACCTGAACAGCCTGTCGGAGATCAGCAGGCTCTCGATGGCCTGCGCCTCGTTGGCGCGCTGCACGTGCCCCTTCCCGTAGAAGGCCTTGGCCGGCTCCGCCTGCAGCACGGCGTAGAACTGCTGCAGCGCCTTCACCTCGCTGGCCGCCTTGGTGTCGGAGATTTTGCTCATCACGGCTGCGTCCTGCAGCACCTCCTTCAGCGAGTGCTTGAAGCCGGAGGAGGCGTGCACCAGCATGAACTTCGTCTTGTTGTCCAGCAGCAGTTTGTTGTCGGTCTTGACGGCCGCCTGCAGCATGTAGTCGAAGAACTGGTCGCGCACGAAGCCGGGCGACGCCACCAGCACACACTTGACCACATCGAAGTTGACGTGGCGCAGAATCGCCTGCATCACCTGCTCGTAGAACTTGGCCAGGCCCTGCAAAGGCGACGGTTAGACGGAAAGGGGCGGGGCTTTGGCGCTGACCTTTTCGTGCTGCTGCACCAGCCCCTTGCGCTTGCGCGGGATGGTGACGTCGATCTTGGCCCTGATGAGGGTCATGCTCGAGGTGATGAGACACACATGGGCCAGCCCCTCTTGCATGATGACGGCGGCCACGTCCGCCGACTTGGTGGGGTCGCAGGCCTGCTCGATGCGCTCCAGCGCTATGGAGTCCCACTCCACCTTGCGCAGGCTGAACTTGCGGTTCAGCTCCAGGTCGAGCGTGTGGTAGGCGCCCATCTGCAACTGCAGGGTCAGTTTCAGCGGCTCGTCCACCCTCATACGCACCTTGACATGCTGGTTCTCCTCGATGTTGCGCCCCTTGAGCCGCAGCATGCAGGCCTGCGTGTCAAAGTCGATGGTCTCCACTGTGATGGTGAGCGTCGTGCGGACTCTGCTGGACGTGGACGATCCGGTGGCCGACTCGATTTGCACTTTGCGGATCGTGGAGCTTTTCACCGAATCGCCCTCGGCGATCAGGTTGTAGGCGTGCCACATGTCCTCGGGCTCCTCCGGCACCAGGGTGACTGCCCTGGAAACGACAGCTGTCACTCAAGGGGGGCCCCCTTGGATCTAACCTACAAGTGGCCGCCACTCACCCCTGGCCCTTGTCGATGTCTCGATGGACGAGCTTCATTTGCGTAGCTGCGCCCCGCTGGGGCCCCACTTGGCGAACGGCGAAATTGGCAATATTTTCCCAAACATTACACGGAAATTTCACACACGTCAGTCAAATTGCTACAGGACTGTCATTTTTTGAGGGCGGCTGTGGCAACGCCGCTCTTGCAACGCCCAGTTGTTCTGTTCAAAAAAAATAAATAAAAATAATGCAACTCCCCATTAAAAAACCAGTCAAAACACATTTTCATACCTGGAAAATTTTGGCAGATTTTTGCTAAAAAAATCCCCTGGATCCAGCTGCACGCTCGAACAGGGGCTAGGGCGTGCGTCGGTGACGTCAGCATCGCGGTCCTTACCGTGTGCAGCCAGCGTCGCTAATGAGCAAATTACTGCCGATTGTTGCATAACATTGTTATAAACAATCGTTGAAAAAAGCCCAATTACACGCCCTGCCCATTGAAATTGCAGTGATTCGTCGGGTTTTTTTCCCGCTGCAAATGAATAAATAAATAAATAAAATTATCGATAAATAGCCCTGACACTGACTTTCGCTTGCGCCCGTATAAAAGCCCTGCAGGAAACGGGCCGGCTGCAGTCGCTGACCATGATCCGGGTCGCCTTCGCGCTGATAATGGCCGCCCTTTGGGGGGGCTGCGCCCCGCAGCGCAGCCCCTTCGGCGGGCTTTCGGACGTCTTCGACGAGCGCCGCTTGCTGGAGATTTACATCCCCACGGTGAACAGCGCGGACGAAACGTGCCGCAACGACAGTCGGTTCTACGCGCACGAGCTGACGCAGTTCCGCATTTGGGCCACGGAAAGTGAGCAAGCCACGCCCCCTGTTTCACTCGTGCCCCGCCCACTTAACCCCACTTTTACGCAGTGTTTGACGCTTCGGGCAAGATGCCCAGCGGCTTCCTCTACGGGTCGTCGCACGACTTGGGCAACTTTGACGAATGCATGGAGATCCGGGTGCCACGCCCAGTGCCGCTGCGCGGCCAATACTGTCTGGCGCAGTTCACGGTGGCGCCACCAGCCGGCACCAGTCTGGAGCACGCCAGCAGCTACTACGAATCGGACTATTTGCGCGCGTCCAACGACTCCATGTGGGCCAAACTGGCGGTAAGCCGTGACAGGTGTCAGAGGCCGGCCAACTAACCTCAATCTCGGCAGGTGTACGCGCAAGACAAAACCAAAGGCAGCCGAAACGAGCTGTATTTTGCGTTTTGCCTGCCGTCGTCCTGCGATTATCGCGAGCTGCGCAGCGTGCTCACGCACAACGCCGCCATCTTGAACAACCGCAGTGACTTCCAGGTGACAGTCGACGTGGGCAGCTGCCAAGCGGCCACGCCCACCCGCTACACTGCCGGCGACGTGGCCTTCATGTGAGTCCCCCATCAAGCTGACAGCAACTTGACATCGTCCATTGTCATCGCTTTGACAGCGTCTTCCTGGGCGCCTCACTGGCAACAGTGCTGCTCGCTAGTGGCTACGAGATGGCGCTGACGCGCGACTCCAACCGCCATTGGCGCCTGATGGGCAAGCGCCACGAGCTGGCGCTGTGCTTCTCGCTGCCGAGCAACGTGCGCAAACTGACGGCGCAGGGGCGCAACCTGGACGGGCTGGACTGCTTGGCAGGCATGCGCGTCTACTCGATGCTGCTGATTGTGCTGCTGCACCGCATCATGTTCGAGTTCGGCTCGCCAATGGTCAACCCCAAGGACGTGGAAAAGGTGGGGCCAACCTCACACGCGCCACGCCCGATTAAACCGCAAAAACTCCCCAGCTGTACACGCAGTTCGAGACCACGCTGCTGCTGAACGGCCCCATTCTAGTCGAAACGTTCTTCACCCTGTCGGGCTTTCTGGCCACCTACTTGATGCTGGGCGAGCTGCAGCGCAAGAAGGGGCGTGTCCAGATGGGCGCGGTCTATCTGCATCGCGTCGTGCGCATGACCCCCACCTACGCCGTGGTGCTGGCCTTCTACTGCACCCTGTTGGTCAAGCTGGGCAGCGGCCCGTTCTGGCAACAGCGCGTCGGCTTGGAACAGCAACGCTGCCTGGCCAGCTGGTGGGCCAATCTACTCTACATCAACAACTACGTCAACACTGACCAAATTGTAGGTTACGCGCGGGGATGACCCGCATTTTCTGTCACTGTCAACTGTCTTTCAGTGCATGTTCCAAAGCTGGTACATCACGTGCGACATGAACTTCTTCCTGTTCACGCCCCTGCTGGCGTGGCTGCTGTGGAAGCGCCCCAAGGTGGGCGTGGCAGTGGTGGGCGTGCTCATCCTCGCCTCCATGCTGGTGGTGTTCGCCATCGTCTACGTCAACAAGATGGACGCCATGTTTATGCTGTATATCAAGTGAGGGATTGTTGTGTGGGGGGAAAACTGGCCGTTTAACTGTTGCGCAGGGTTCTAAAGGATCCGGTGGCGCACGACACCTTCAAGACCCTGTACATTCCGGGGCACATGCGCGGCAGCTCCTATCTAGTGGGCGTGCTGACCGGCTACATCAAGCACGCCATGAAGGAGGGCAGCGCCAAACTGCCGAAGGCGGCGGTGCGCATCGGCAAGTGGCAGGTAGGCGGGGCTTGGGCGTTGTTGTAATGCGCAGTTGCAGGTTGGGCGCTCTGCGCCCCCATCATGGTGGCCTCCTTATACACCGGCTTTGTGTTCTATTTGCTCGAGGTGCCGCCCCTGCTGGCCGCCCTCTACGCCGCCCTCTACCACTTTGCCTGGAGCGTCTGCGTTGCGTGGATGGTGCTGGCCATCAGCTCTGGGCGTGGCCGTAAGTCACTTGGCGTTGCAGCGGGCATTTTCACTGGGCGTGTCTGGTGCTTGCAGCGTGGGTGGAGCCGATGCTGCGCTGGCGCCCGCTGGTGGTGCTGGCGCGACTCACCTACTGCGTCTACATCTCGCATGGCGCCATCCAGATGTACACGGCGGCAACCATCCGAACACCGATCTACGCCAGTGTCTTCAATGTGGTAAGTGTGGGCGGGTGATTGAGTGGTTGCCTAAATTGGCGGGGGTCGTTTGACAGGAGTACCAAACGGCCGCCGATCTGCTGCTCGCCTACGCGCTCGCCCTGGCGCTCACGCTGATGTACGAGTCGCCTGTCATAGCGCTGGAGAAGGTGCTGCTGAGCCCCGCGCAGGGCGCGGCCGCCCAGGGCAGCCTGGAGATGGCCGCCTGACCCCGTAGGCGCCCCCCCCGTAGCTTAGCTGAGTAGTAGTGTTCTAGTCTAGTGTCTAATCAGTGACGTGCCCACCCACTTGAACCCCGAGTTTATCGCTTGAATTGCGCCGCTTCCAATCAGTGCAGTGAGTGCGATGAGCGCCGGCCAGTGCAGTGCTTCGGGTGCTCTGGACGTCGCGTGGTGCGCCCTCCTGGTCACGCCCCTGGTGGTGGCCGGCTGGCGCGGCACTTGGGAGCTGCTGGACGTCCACGCCGCCCACTTCCCGCCGTGGGAGAGCTGCGTGATCGGTTGCTAGGGGCGTGGCCTGGCAACAGCCACCGTCGCTAACCACTGCCCCTGTTGCAGGTACGCTGATCCATGTGGTGGCCGGCGGCGCGCAGGAGGCGTTCCACGCGCTGGCGATGGAGGGGGGCGAGCAGCGCACGCCCCTCGGCCGACTGCTGCTGTTCCTGGCCATGCGCAGCTACACCCTGGTGCTGCATCTGGCCACCAATGTGCAGTGGCGCGGTGAGTCTGCGCAGCGCAAGCCCGGCCTGACTGTTGCCGCTCTTCGCCCCTTGACAGGTGTGTGGATGCTGCTGGACCAGCACTTGGGCGTGGTGGAGGAGGGCAGGGTGCGCGTGGCGCACGCGGGCGTGGCCCTGGGGCTGTTCGCCGCCTGCTTGGGCCTGCTGGGCGGCATGCGCTGCTTGCGCAACCTGAACTCGCCGCCCTTTGGGCTGTGCGCGGACGAGGGCGACCCGATGTTCCGCTTCCCGAACATGTTCCGCACCGCCATGGCGGACGGCGCCGCCCGCTACGCGGCCGACGTCGTCTTCTCAGTGGGCGTGGTCGGCAACTTGGGCGTGGTCGGCTGGCGCGGCCTGTGGCTGCTCGCCGAACTGCTGCTGTCGCCCTGCGCCAGCCTGGTGCGCCCGGCCACACAGTGAGGCTGGACTAAGACTAACGGTGACAAGTTGCAGGTGTTGGGCTACGCGCTGGTCGCCGCGCTGTTCCTGCTGCAGCCAACCATGCAGGCGGTGTGCGACGCGCCCGCCGGCCTGCGCCGCCTCCTGGCCGCCGACGCCTACATGCTGGCGGCGGTGTGGGCGGCTGTCAACGTGTGGCGCGGCCTCTGGACGCTGCTGGACCGCCACTTCCTGCCGGGCAGCGGGCCGCTGGGCCTCTGGCTGTGCCAGGGGGGCGCGCTGGCGCTGCTGATGGCGCTGCGCTGCTCCAACTCGCTGCTGGTGCGCGGCGTGTGGCGCGACGGCGAAGAAGCGGGCGGCAGCTGCGTCGCCTTCAGCGTGACCCTCAATAAATAAATGCACCATTAACCGAGCTGGCCTTGCCTGCGCCCCACCGCTCAGTACCCCGAGCGTCTCCTGCGGCAATGCGCCCAGTCCCCGCTCGTCCACTATGCGCGGCAGCAGCGCCGCTCCTCGCAAAGGGCGACCGGCGACGCGCGACGCGCTCCTCACCGCCCTCGACTTGCTCTTCTCCGCGCTGGTGGTCTGCCCCTGCGTGGTCGCCTACTGGCGCAGCGTCTGGACGCTGATGGACCTCTACGTGGCGCCCGCCCGCCCAGTGCTCAGCGCCGCCCTCTCCTGCGGCCTCGGCCTCGTCGGCCACGTGCTCTTCATCGGCGCCCAGCGCGCCCTGGCGGACCGCTTCACCCCGGGCGGCGGCCGCCTGCGCTTCTACGCGGTCAGCCGCCTCTACACGGTGTGCTACGCGTTTGTGTGCGTCAACGGGTGGCGCGGCCCTTGGGACTTGTTGACGGTGCAGACGCAGCGCGACGCCGGCAGCTTGATGGTCACGTCCGCTGTGGGGCTGGTGGCGCTGGTCGCTATGAGGGCGCTGCGCAACGTCGCCTCGCCGCCCTGCGTCATCGTCAA